ACCTCTATATGGGCGCCATTCTTTGTATAAAGCACATCAAGATGGTACTTGCTTTCTTGCCACATTTGCTGTAGCATAGCCTCATCAATGGCGGCAATGGCATCAGTGATGTCTCTTATCTTTGTTTGATACACAATATATTTAACATAACCCCATAGAAAGAAGTCTAGGGGAGTGATATCTGGTGAACAAGGTGACCATCCCGTCAAATCCACTGGTCTGGAAATGTTTGATTTAGGAACCCATGAACATGCATATATACACATAAACATATATATATATGAAAATTTCTCTGATTTAACCAGTAGAGAAGACATTAGAACATTAATTAACATTAGAACATATAAAATTCAACTATGTCCATTGTCTTTTCATGTTGAATTTTATATGTTTTAATGTTAATTATGATTAATGAATATTGTTCTGATGATGGTCTAAAATATAATTAAACGTCCGACGTTTGTTTATATTAACATTAATACAGCATAATTGCATATTAAGATTTTTTTTTTTTTCTGTATATTTTCTTCACACACACACACACATATATATATATATATATATACACACATATAATATATATATATATACATACACACACACACACACACACACACACATATATATATATATATATACATACACACACACACACACACAAACACACATATATATATATATATATATATATATATATATATATATATATATATATATATATACACATACACATACACTGTCCCAAAAGTGGTGGTTCACCATCTTGCTGGAAAATGATGGTTGGTTGATGGTCATCTAGTTGAGGTACCGCATCAGTTGCCTCTTTTAATCTATAAAGAAACTTTATGTACACCCCGTATGGATTCACCCCCTGTAGAATCATTTCTACTAGCAAACAGGATTTTTTTTTCTCCTGATGATGTCCATGCTGGCCGAGAGGAACCTAATTTAAATAGTAAAACAAAAATATTAATATACAACCAAATGTGTCTGAAATTTTAATTTTTTAAACATTTTTGTATTGTTCAAGAAATATAGTTTACCATAAAATCCCAAATTACTCCATATGAGGAATAGGTTTATTTCAACCAAAGTTTTCATTGGTTGAAATAAGCCTATCCCCCATATGAGGTAATATTGGATTTTATGGCGTACTAATTATTTGCCCTGTAATAAAAAATACATTGAGCTCTTTTTTTTTTTTTGATCAGTTTTAATATTTTATATTACTAGGATCCACTTGGATTATATTACTAATAGACTTATTAGCTTTACTATATATATATATATATATATATATATATAACCTTTATTTAAACAGGGCCCAACTGAAAATGTAAAAAGTCAACATTTTGGAATAAAGTACAATATTGCAGAAAGGTTTGTTTTTCCATAACTCAAAAGTTGTTTTCTAAAAAGAAAGGATCACATTTTATTTTTTTTAAGAAAACAATGGTCATGCTGGCAACAAGACCACCAAAAATGGCTCTAGAAAAAGGCCGTCTGGCTCATTTTTAACCTTGTCTTTTTTCTAAGGCTCATGAGCTCTGTATATATAGATTGAACAATTAGTAAACAAAGATATATATTGTTGTGGTACGATCCACCTAATTTACATAGTGGAGTACCGACCATATAAATATGGGTTGGTCCCGGGAAGACGGGGGAGGAAGAAGAGATCCAATCCAGAGACTCTGCCCGACTGCGATTAAGTCAACCCATTCTACAGGAACGGTCTTCCCAAGAATATACCAAACTATCTGTAAATATTGTGTACACGTTCTTGTGTCAATACATTTTGTTTAAGTACATTTTGTGTTGTATTATTATTATTCCATGCTTTATTCAAGTTTCAACATATATATATATATATATATATATATATATATATATATATGGTTTGATGTATAAATTGTCGCCATTTAGCATTTTTAATTTTGAACGTGCATATTGTCTGTTTTTATTTTTGTTGACTGCACAATATAGTAGAGTCAGTTTGGCATTGTCTGTGAGAAAAAGAGCACCATGATGCAATTCACTCCACCATAAATTTGGAAACAGCATGCTGTGCTGTTTGGTATTCATGCCAGAAGATCTAATACAAATATTCCAGAGTGTTTGTGTGTCAATCTGAGGAAAGTTCAAAGGATTCGGAAAGAGTTGGACGATATACCCAGTCAACATCATAATGTTTGGAGTGATCACCAGTGATGGTGATGTTATGCCCCTATTCATCTTCCCACAGAGCCTCATTCTCAACATGGAGGCCTACCTCAAGTTCCTTGAGGAGATAATGATTCCCTGATTCAAGAGGGTGTCTGCTGGAAGATTCTATGTCTGGCAACAGGACTGTGTACTATGCCACACAAGCAAGAGGACCAAGTCATGGCTGTCACAATTTCTGCGACCACATCACCCCTGTCATCTGGCCACCTAACTCCCCAGATTGTGACCCCATTGATATGTGGCATGCAGTTGGGCAAGTGACCAACAAAACTTTTTGTAACATCAAAGATGACCTGGAGGCAAGGATTATGGCATCATTCACCAACATAAACAAGGAGACAGTCCAGAAGAGATGCAGAAGATTTCAAATTTGCATGGAGGCTGTAGTTGAAGCTAATGGTGATTTTATTGAATAAATTTACTCTTTAGTATTTCAAGATATTTTTGTGTAATTTTGGTAAATATATCTGTTAAAATGAGATGTCAGTGTTATTTTAATTTTTGTGTGATTTAGATGACATTTTATCCATCACACCCTGTATAAAGTGGACACTGAGGTCAATATCAAGCGGCGACAGTTTGTTTCATGCATGAATGCCATGTGGTCAAGCTTGAAACAGACTTTTGAAGCTTGGTGTCCAATTTTATATAGTCTTGGGTGGCAACCAGCCTAGGAAAAGGAAAACTCTTAATTCAAAACTGTATGTAACCCTGGCGAAGTACATATGCAACTAAGAAAAGGGTCATTTGCATTTGATTGATGACCCTAACTGTAGTTTGTGTGTGTGTATATATATATATATATATATATATATATATATATGAATTACATATAAAACTGAAACTCAATTGTACCCCATTTTTATGGCCATTTCACTCCACGGGATAAATTCCTTGGAGCTTGTCAATACTAAAATGTTTTTTTATCAAACGTTTTAGTATTGACAAGCTCCAAGGAATTCATCCCAAGAAGCGAAATGGCCGTAAAAATGCCATATCATATGAGAAAACTGAGATGCCAGGTCAGGATCGATTACATTACAGACCCTTCTTTGAATTTTGTCAAGAATCTCGAGATATATGGTAGCAATATTCAAGATGAATGGAAGATTTAAATATGCAAGATGGATTCTGGTGAGAAAAATTGTCTGAACCAACTTTCCTAGCAGTAGATCTATCAATTGATTCAATATAATCAGTCCACATCATGTCAGTTTAAAATGTAAGCCCAAGAATATATGAAAATGAAATACTGACAGAGCAGCTTATCATGACTGATAATAGTACCTGCCTCTGTCTTTCAAAAAGACAATGTTTAGTGTGCTGTCTCTGCAAAAAAGATAGCCCATTGCTACCCTGCCAGAACAGAGCTGGTGCAAACCCTAGAACATTTGGTTATGAAGAAAGAAATTGTTTACCAGTTTCCCCAAGAGATATTCAGGATGCTGAGCTGACTGGTGTTAGCTATGCAAATGATTCCTTTGCTAGCCAACTGCTAAAGTTTTAGGCTCCATACAAGCAGGGGCATTTTCTGGGTAGACCTTGGCAGTATGCTGTGTTGACTACACATCAGGATTGCCGTGCATTAACAAGGATTTTTGTTTGTGTTACTCAGTGCTGTTTCAAATTCATTCAATTTTGTCAAGAATCTCGAGATATATGGTAGCAATATTCAAGATGAATGGTAGATTTAAATGTGCAAGATGGATTCTGGTGAGAAAAATTGTCTGAACCAACTTTCCTAGCAGTAGATCTATCAATTGATTCACTATAATCTGTCCACATCATGTCAGTGGAAAATGTCATCCCAAGCAGACACACAGTCTCCTGGAGGTTAGGATCAGCCTGAAATTATCAAAATTGCTTTCCCCTACTTATGTCAAATAATGCATATTTAAGTATTTATTTTAAGTTCATTTGTGTTCCTCGGTCGACCAAGAAGAGGTTAAAAAAAAATTTCTGATGTTTGTTCATTTAGTCAGGTCTCGTGAACTAGATCAGGCCGAGAATTTTCCAGCATCTTCTCTCCCCCCCCACCCCCACCCGTTTTCTTTTCTGTGTCACTAGAAATCCTCATCCTCTATGCTTGTATTTCTCTCTCAGACAGACCCATGTAACATTTATTTGCATTTCCCCACCCTCACTTAGGTCTCTCCACGTCCACTCACTGATCGTCTCGCCACTAGATACGGGCTCTTAACATTTTGCTGTCGCGGGAAAAGGTAGCCAATGTTTTCACAACACTTGATACTCTAATCAATTTCATCTGCTCCTCATTAGAAAGAAAGAGAAAGTGAGATTTTTTTTCGCAGCAAGCGAAAAAGATTGGGAAAAGTATTGAGTTACTGTTTTTCTTCTTTTTTCCTCTTTCTTTTCTAACTATACGAGTGTGTTTTTCACCCTTTTTTTTATTATTGCATGCTGACATTCATTCAACAGCAATAATGTCCGCCAGAGTAAAATGCTTCAGGTGCTGGTGTGAAGTGCACGCTTGAGTAAATGCATCCTATTATCTTATTGTGTTGTGTTACATTGTGTTTTGTCGTTGTCGGTAATTGTATTGCTTTGCTTTTGACGAAAAAGAAAGAGACGATCATCGTTGTCCTTAAATTTGCCTGACTTTGTTGAGGCGTGATATGATTGGATTGCAGACACGTAGAAGAGACGCGGGTTTGGACTGTTGTTTTTAATAATGGGGGAATTCCGCTTCCTTAAAGAAACGTTGTTTTTTAGTTTTTTTTTGTTTTTCTGTTGTTGATGTTTTTTCTTCTTAGAATTGTTTTTTTTTTCACCAATTTTTTTCTTTTCTTTTTTCTCCTATTTCTTTCTTAATTCGTTTTTTTTCATCTCATCATTTTTTTTCCTCTTTCTTGTCTCTTTTCCCTACTTTTCCCCTCTTCTCCTCTTTCTGTACCTTTTTCCTTTTTCCCCTATTTTTCTTTGTTTATTCCTTGATCGTCTCCTCTTTATCCACTTTCTTTTTATCCTATTCACCTCATTCTGTTTTCCCCTTTTTTTTTCTTTTTCTTTTTTCCACAAATTGCTCTTTATTTTCTTTTTCCTTCTTCACCCTCAATCTTCTCTTTCTATTCTTTTTCCTTCTTTTTCCATTCTTTTTCCTTCTTTTTCCATGTTCTCCTCTTTCTTTTCCCGTTCTTCTTTTTTTCTGTTCTCTTTCTTTCCCCTTTTCAATCCTTCGTCTTTTCCTACTTTTCCCTGTTCTCTTTCTTTTCTCTTTTTCTTTCTTTCATTGTTCCCTCATTCTTTTCCATTTTTTCTTTTCCCTATTCTTTTTCTGTTCTCTTCATTATTTTACTTTTTCCTTCTTTTTTTCCTTCCCCTTTTTCATTTACATTTTTCTTTATTCCTCATTTCACTTTTTTTTCCCATTTTTCTCTTTCTTTCCATTTTTCTTTCTTTTTTTTTCCTGTTCTCTTCTTGCTTTTCCCTTATTTAACCTATTTTCCTCTTTCTTTTCGCTTTTTCTCTTCCCCCGTCATCCTCTTACTTTTCCTTTTTTTTCTCCTTTAACTTTTTCTTTAACACTCTTTCCTTTAGCAAATTTCCTTTGCCTCTTTCTCTCCTCTTTCCTGGTTCTTCCTTTATCTCTCATTTCATCTCCTTTCTTTTTCAACCTATTACCCCCACCGTCTTTCATTTCTCTTTCTCTTTCCATTATTTCTTTCTTCCTCTGCCTCTCATCATCTCTTTTTGCTCATGTTAGGCAAAGATTTATTTGGACAAATACACACCTGAAAGCTTATTTGAAAATCTCCAACCTTTGGACCCACTCCAATTAATTTTTAAAAAATCGGTTAAGCTATTGAGAGATTATCATTGAAGAATATCTCGTGAATAAATTTTTGTTATTTGTCAAATTATATATATATAATTACATGAATCATTCATACAAAAAACAAATATAGAGGTTAATGATTTAAATGGCGAGAATACATCTTCGCAAACAATTTCAATTTAAATCATTAACCTCTATATTTGTTTTTTGTATGAATGATTCATGTAGTTATAAATTGAACTGCATCTATAAGTTTATAAATTAAATATATATATATATATATATATATATATATATATTATTCATTTAAAAATTATAACATAAATATGTTATAAAATCATGACAAAAAAGCCATTTTGTTTCAACATCATCACTTTATCAAGTGATGAAACAAAATGACTATTTTTGTAGTGATTTTATAACATATTTATGTTATGATATTTAAATAAATAATAATTATATCTGCTCTACTCTGTATTGAGCACTCTTTTAAGAATAGTAATTGTTGGTTATTTGAATTTATTCCGTTTTCACCAATTATATACTTATATATATATATATATATATATATATATATATATATATATATATATATATATATATGTGTGTGTGTGTGTGTACTTGTAAATTGTAACAAAGGCAAAGGGAAGTAATCCAAATACCTGTTTGCAATATCATACAATGCAACACAGCTAACATTTAGCACTCAGCTTTATTTATAAATATTATTCCCCCTCTTTTATTGTATAGGGAGTCCCCTTAGAATGTAGTGTTTTATATATTAGTTCTATATATTTGAAATTGCAATAACCAAGCTCTCAATTTCAGTCAAGATTGTTTGAAGTGTTACCATAGAAGGATATGACTGCACAACCATGAAATTCAGATTCAACTCACATTGGCCGGACTAACATTTTGCTTGGCGAAAAAAGTCAACTACAGAGTGCTAAAGGCTAATGAGCTAACAGCAGATGCTGTAGTGGCCAGAATTCCTTTCTGATGCTTCTGCAGCAAAATGGAGCTATTTCCCCTAGAATATAAGCAAAAAGAACATAGTGGTATTACATTCTACAACCAACATTATCATGCATTGATATTGAACACTGAATCTTTTATAAAACTATAATTATTTTTAAATGCTATGACAAGAGCAAGTAAAATTAGTCATATACTACAGTGAACAGGCTTAAAGCAACAATAAAAGGAAAATAGTGTAAAACGTAAAATATCAGTAGTAAATATAATTGATCTAAAAAATAACAATAATGACATAGTTAAATTAGAGTTTTCATTTTCCCCATGCAGCAATAATTGAGATAGTTAGATTAGTAATAAAATGATAATAGCATAGTAGTATACACTCAACTGCCTCGTGGGTAATAGTTGTAATATTTTTAGATTTTGTGACTTCATATTTAAATGAGTCACCTTTTCTTTTGTACTGAAGAGGTTTTATCTCCCTTTTTGCCTGGTAAAAAAAGAAAATGGATTTTTTTTTAATTATAATATTTTCCTTAGTCTTTTATAGAGATTATCAAGATATGGAAGATTTAAGATCTTTTTTTTTTTTTTTTCATAGGAGTGTTCCTCAAATGATTGTTGATCTTCAGAGTTTATATCTCTCTCGATTTCACTGTCATGTTTGTCTTACTCTGACGTGAAATTTTCATTACTTTCAGGCTCATGATAAATTTCTTCATCACTATTGTGTTGCCATCTAACTTGGTCTGCATACACTAATATCCCATTTCCAGTTTTTATTATTATCATAGTGTTCTGTCCACGTTGCATTATGAATCTTGCCTCTTGTAGATTAGATTCAATATTCTTTTTATACAATAGTTTTTCATTGGTAGCATAGTCAATGGTCAACGGGGTTCTGATTTGTCTACCCATGAGGGCAGACGTGTGTTTTTGATCTTCCAGTATGGGGTATTGTCCTGTGTTTGCAACAATGTAGGAAGAAATATTTCTGTATTTTCTTTTTGTTGTATACATATTTTCAATTCGCTTTTTTTAAAGTTTGCACCACTCTTTTTGCTAATCCAGAGAAGTCTGGAATTTGAAATCAGTTCGCTTATTCAGTCTACCCTGTCATTTAACTGATTGGTGGAAGGAGAGCAAACAGATTCAAATGTTTTTTAAGGGTAGAAAGCTTCGAAAGAGGATGCAACAACTAAGTCTGGAATTTGAAATCAGTTCGCTTATTCAGTCTACCCTGGCATTTAACTGATTGGTGGAAGGAGAGCAAACAGATTCAAATCTTTTTTTCCTTAAAACTTCCTTGAAAGAGGATGCAACAACTAAGTCTGGAATTTGAAATCAGTTCCTTATTCAGTCTACCCTGTCATTTAACTGATTGGTGGAAGGAGAGCAAACAGATTCAAATCTTTTTAAGGGTAGAAAGCTTCGAAAGAGGATGCAACAACTAAGTATGGAATTTGAAATCAGTTCGCTTATTCAGTCTACGTCTGTCATTTAACTGATTGGTGGAAGGAGAGAGCAAACAGATTCAAATCTTTTTTTTGGTGGAAGGAGAAAGCTTTGTCTTTTATTTGAAAAGAGGATGCAACAACTAAGTTGGAATTTGAAATCAGTTCGCTTATTCAGTCTACCCTGGCATTTAACTGATTGGTGGAAGGAGAGCAAACAGATTCAAATCTTTTTAAGGGTAGAAAGCTTCGAAAGAGGATGCAACAACTAAGTCTGGAATTTGAAATCAGTTCGCTTATTCAGTCTACCCTGTCATTTAACTGATTGGTGGAAGGAGAGCAAACAGATTCAAATCTTTTTAAGGGTAGAAAGCTTCGAAAGAGGATGCAACAACTAAGTATGGAATTTGAAATCAGTTCGCTTATTCAGTCTACCCTGGCATTTAACTGATTGGTGGAAGGAGAGCAAACAGATTCAAATCTTTTTAAGGGTAGAAAGCTTCCCAGAGGATGCAACAACTAAGTCTGGAATTTGAAATCAGTTCGCTTATTCAGTCTACCCTGTCATTTAACTGATTGGTGGAAGGAGAGCAAACAGATTCAAATGTTTTTAAGGGTAGAAAGCTTCAAAAAGAGGATGCAACAACTAAGTCTGGAATTTGAAATCAGTTCGCTTATTCAGTCTACCCTGTCATTTAACTGATTGGTGGAAGGAGAGCAAACAGATTCAAATCTTTTTAAGGGTAGAAAGCTTCGAAAGAGGATGCAACAACTAAGTATGGAATTTGAAATCAGTTCTTCCTATTCAGTCTACCCTGTCATTTAACTGATTGGTGGAAGGAGAGCAAACAGATTCAAATCTTTTTTAGGGTAGAAAGAAAACAATGAAGTATTAAAGAGGATGCAACAACTAAGTTCTGTTTTCTTAATTTGAAATCAGTTCGTATATTCAGTCTACCCTGTCATTTTAACTGATTGGTGGAAGGAGAGCAAACAGATTCAAATCTTTTTTAAGGGTAAGGGTAGAAAGCAAACTATGGGTAGGATGCAACAACTAAGTATGGAATTTGAAATTCAGTTCTCTTATTCAGGTTTTAGTCTTTTTAACTGGTACTTGGGATCATTTTTCTTCCATTATCTTCCTTCCTCTTCCTAGATGTATCTGGAGATCTTGATCCTTCTTCTTTTTCATAGGAGTATTCCTACAATGATTGCTCTTGTTCATTTCAGCGTCTATATTACTTTCAATTTCACTGTCCAGTTTTGCCTTGGCGTGATACTTTCGTCTTCAGTACTTTCAGACTCATGATAAATTTCTTCATCACTACCGTGTTGACATCTAACTTTTTCTCCTTTCACTAATATCCCATTTCCAGTTTTTACTATTATCATAGTGTTCTGTCCACTTTGCATTATGAATCTTGCCTCATGTAGATTAGATTCACTGTTCTTTTTATACAATAGTTTTTCATTGGTAGCATAGTCAATAGTCAATTTGTCTACCCACAAGGGCGGACAGGCTTTTTGATCTTCCAGCATGTGGTATTATCTAATAGCTTACCAATAATCCATTCTTTCTGCTAATCCATTTGATTGCAGATTGTATGGTGGGGTTTTATATGGTTTGCCTCTAATTTTATTCAACCATTGGCATTGTTCCTTGTCACAGAACTGGTTGTCAGATATTAGCTTTTTTTGGAATTCCTTTTATTAAAAATATAATCCTTAACATTTGTTTCACAATCAAACTTCTTTTGTTGGAAACCTGTATTACTTCTGGCCAGCCTGAATACGAATCTAACAACATTAGTAATAATCCCACTCCATGAACATGGGTTGATCCATATGTACTCTGTCCCAAGGTTGGAACTCTTTAGGCCATGTATGTGTTTTTGTCTGTCTGTATTTTCTTCTTTCATTAGACTTTTACACTTTTTATATATTCCTCTACATCTGTAGAATAGCCTGGCCACCATGCCAATCTTAATCTTGCTTTTTTAATAATTTTCATGTATGTTTTTTATATTTTTGCTGGCTTTGTGTTGCTGCCACTATGTCTCCATTAGAAATTACACCCTTTTCTACGGTTAACTTGTGCTTAACCTCCTTAAATCTCCCTTCTCCCTGTGAGCAATTATTCCACTTATTATTTTTTTTATCCTGAACAATATATTGTTCAATATGGAATCTCACTTTGTATCCTCAGCTAATTTGTTTATTAATGAAATATCAGTTTTGACCCAGTGTATCTTCAAATTTTCCTCCTCTTTCCCACTTTCTGAAGTAATGAACCTCAATTTTGACAAAGCATCTACATGTGGAATGGTATCGCCTTTCATGTACTCAATATCAAATGCCATTAACATTAAGGCCTATCTTAGATTTCTAGAAGACGTTACTTTAGGAAGTTCCTTCCTAGGATTAAATATGAATTGTAAAGGTCTGTGGTCAGACCTAAGTAGGAATTTCCAATCAAAAACTGATGAGCTCT